CCATTATGGTTGTTTTTTCTAGAACCCGTTCTGCTGAATGTTACCCTGAAGGATTACATTTGCTTTACTATGGAAGTGTATTTGTGTTACATGTCAAAGACCAATGTCGCATATATCGTTTTCTGATGTTTTGCAGGAACTTACTATACATTCATATTCTCTTTTTATGTAAAGCAGTAGTTGATTCACATGCCTAAATATTTAGAGTTCCAAAAGCAGTGGGCAAAATGTCATCTCCCCTTTCGTTTTGCAGTTTGCAGCTTTTCTCTGTTTATAGCAGGCCTATAACCATATGACTGAACCAATTTCTGTTAAACAAGAAAGCAGATCGACTTTTAATAACTATGGTAGGCCATTGAACATTAAATTCAAACACAAATATCAAAACTGATCTCAAATTCCAATACAAGATTATAGTTTAAGCCAAGAACAAGATAAACCATTCTCAATCTTGGAACTTTTCTTAAAAGTCTACAAGGTTAACTTAAAGTACAGGGAAGGAACAATCTAAGTATAAATACCATGGCACAAAGCTTAATCTCATGAATCCGAAACAACTTTGAACCTTTATACAATAAAAACAAACACGGACTAAATCCTATCAAGATTGCAGCTTTCCTCAAATTTCAACAAAGTTAATAATATCAATCTGTTTAATCCAGCACATGACATTCCATATCAAATTCGTGGGTGTGCATTAACTGAAACATTATAGCTAATATCAGTTACCATCCAAATGATTTAGTAGATCTATGCTATTAAATGACCAGCCAAGTCCCAAATCATCCTCCCAATCTTATCCAGTTACATTTTCTCCACAAAATCAATACAAATCTTTCCTATTAAATGCGTAGGCAATTCTCATATCTTCCCTCTATTCATATTCAAATTCATCACACTCAAAATTTGCAGCCATTCAAACATTCATTCATCAAATTAAAATTCTACAACCATTCGATCATCCATTTATTTTTATCTTCAAATTAAACAGGGTGCACATTCAAGAAAGGGGCGATATTTATTTAATTTTTTAATATTTGAGAAAACTTTACGCTGCAGCATAGTCACACATTGCAATCCCATTCAATTTCTTAAAGATCATCTCGGTGAGTGTTTTGATTTACAGTGGTTTGTATACTCATTCCTACTCTACTTGAATAACATTATTTAGAATACATTAGATTTTCTATAGAATATTTTAAAGATTAAAATGTAATAAGTACTTAAACAGCCTTCTTTTCACAAATAATAATTTTTCAGTTTACTTTTGAAGAACTAAAAGTTTATTTTTCCCTCACCATGAAAAGTTAAAGGATATCGTTCATTTAGATAGACTGTTCCTATCATTTATAGAGAAGCTCCAAACACAAAAAGGCAGCACAAGATAGTCCACCTGGAAGTTGTCCACTATATTGCATATTGAATGTAGGAAATCTACAAGGAACCTAAAGCATGTTTCAGAATTTAGTACTTTAATATATCTCTAAGGTGCATTATGCTGATTGAGCTGTAAACTTTCTACAAAGAAATTTCCTGTAACAGAATAGGATAATAAGTCAATGTAAGAGAAGCATTGTATATGTGAATCACCTCGACACTTGCAATGACCTCGACAACTTGAATTTTGAGACCTGTAATGCCTTCAATATCCTGTATACATATGGACAGACGATAAAGGTCAAACTACAACTACTTGTTTTCTTTTTTGATAAGGCCAACCTGCAATTATTCTTCAATTCCAATTATTAGCTAAAATAGGTTTGTCGCAACAAAGCCATAAATCTGGATACACATATAATGGATGAGAATTAAAACAAGAAGAGAATTCCAGCAAAAATGTCTTACAGAATTTTATGTAACTCGACCTGCTTTTGTAATTTCTTACACAGGTCTATCAAATATTAACATAGTAGTTGGTTAATATAATTAACATGCTACAAAGCCTTGTATAAGTGATCTCTCCCTTCAGTATTCCACTAACAGCATACAGATATAATTCACACACACAAAAAAAGAAACAATCAAAGAGCAAGCAATAAACTAAGCAGAGCTTCAAGTAAGTATTATAAGCATATGTACCCTCTTATAGTTTACCTGACTAAGAAGCTTGGGTTTGTAAATGGTGGAAAACATAACTTCATGGACTAGAATACATGAAACTTCATGCCTGCACTACAACTAATGGTGGTCAACTACTGAATATATTGCAGGATACTTGCAATCTGTTTTCTATGGCTTAAATATTTCATCCCACAAATACAGACAACTCCATGATCATGATAAATGAGTTAAAAAAATTACCAGTTGAATGAAAATAAATAGCAGAATGGTATACTCATTCCTACTCTACTTGAATAACATTATTTAGAACACATATTGCATTTCAGATAAGCTACGATTCCAGCAAGTACTCTCACATACATATCACTCGGGTATATTGTATTTCGATATAGACAAAAATATCTACCGCTACCATTTTATATTCTATCAAAACAAATATAACAGGTTCAATGGAATTACTATCTGCTATCATTAAAGAATACAATGGATCATTGAATATTTCGATGGAAGTTAACCTCCTACAACAGCTACTACCAGAATTAGTTTCCCTCGAACAGATGCTATAGCAAAAAGAAAATACAAATGCATCAACAGGCGAGTGTAGTCGAGTGAATAAGGAACCGGGCTTTCTCAAAAACAGCAGATGGAAGTATTCCAGATTGAAGCGAAAAGTTGCTTTGATTGAAAAACAATACAAGAATCATCCAAAAAGACTAATAGTACAGCTAATACGTTTTGTTAACAGATTCACAAAGTTGGCGAAGTTGACAAACTTTTCAAGCAGACATGTTCCCATTCATCAAAATGGTATGGTAATATGCATCCTCATTTATCTATTATCTAAATGTCAAAATTTGATTGATTGTTCATATAAGAAACTGAATGACTAAATCATTAGCTAACTATATGATTGTGTTTATATTTAATTGTTCAAATTGACAGGCCATTACATAACAACTTGGAATTTTGGCCCCCCAAAGTACACATGCCAATATTGTGGAGCTCTTTTATGGTATGAAGAACGAACAACAAAAACAAAACAAACAACAAGACCGATATTCTCATTTTGTTGTATGGGAGGAGGTCGTGTACAACTTCCTTTATTGAGGGAACCACCACCCTATCTGAAGTATCTTTTGGGTAAAGAATCAGGGCAACTAGGTATTAATTTTCGAAAAAATATTAGAGCTTATAACTCAATGTTTGCATTTACATCCATTGGTGGCCGAGTTGATGGATCTATCAATCACTCAAAGGGGCCATACGTTTTCAGGACGTGTGGTCAGAATTATCATCGTATAGGATCTTTATTGCCTGAAATTGGTAAAAGACCCCAATCTGCTCAGCTATATATATATGATACTGAAAATGAGATAAACAACAGAATGAATTGTCTGCTAGAAGGAGACATTGATCCTGAAATTGTTCAGGGCTTATCAGTAATGTTGGAGGAGCATAATATATTGGTTAAAACATTTCGAATGGCTAGAGATAGATATAAAGAGCATCCTGAACGTGAATTTCGCCTACGTCTCCTATCTAATAGGACAACGGATGGTCGACAATATAATTTACCCACAACTTCTGAAGTAGCTGGATTAATAGTGGGTGATGTTATGGAAGAAAACTTCCAGCGAGATATTATTGTAGAGCATAGGAAAAATGGACTTCAAAGAATTTCTGATCTACACCCAAGTTTTATGTCTATGACATATCCACTAATACACCCTTATGGTGAAGATGGATATAGAGTTGGAATAAATTTGGGAGATGTCATCAACAAGACTTACAAGCGACAAAAATTAACAACGAGAGACTTCTATTGCTTTAGAATACAACAAAGACTTAACGAGGGTAAGACTCTCTTACTTGCCGGTAGACTATTACAACAATACATTGTTGACGGTTACATGGCAATCGAGGAAGAAAGATTTCGTTATATTCGGAATAATCAACCAAAACTCAGAGCTGATCTTTACTCTGGCTTAATGGATGCCATTCTTCGTGGTGATTCAGATTGTTCTTTGATAGGAAAAACAGTTATCTTACCTTCATCTCACACCGGAGGACCTCGCTATCGGGCACAAAATTATCAAAATGCAATGGCAATTTGCAGGTGGGCTGGATATCCAGATTTGTTTCTCACTTTCACATGCAATCCAAAGTGGCCCGAAATAAATGAAATGCTTCGCTTAATAGAACAATCTGGTGATGATAACAGGGTTGACATTATATGCAGAGTGTTCCAAATCAAGTTATTTCAATTAATGCAAGATCTGAAAAAGCAACAACCTTTTGGAAAAATAATTGCATGTAAGTTCAAACTTCAACATACTAACAGAATACACCAGTTATTAATTCAAGCATTTACATTTTGCTAAAAAAAACAATGATTACTTTACCGTCAACCTATTAAACACATTATACCTTTAACTCTGCAGGTTTATATACAATTGAGTTTCAGAAAAGAGGACTACCTCATGCACATATATTACTCTTCCTGCATCCTACATTAAAAAGTCCATCTATAGATCATATCAACACAATGATAACAGCTGAAATACCCAATATGGAAGTAGACCCGGATGGTTATAAAGCTATAAAGAACTACATGATGCATGGACCTTGTGGAGACCTCAATCCAGGATGCCCATGTATGAAGCAAGGAAAATGCACCAAGCATTTTCCAAAGAAGTTCAATAATCAAACAACTTTTGATGCAGATGGGTTCCCAATTTATAGGAGAAGAAACACAGGTACTGAAGTAAATAAAAATAATGTCTTTTTAGATAACAGATATGTCGTCCCTTATAACAGGAATTTGATTGTCAAATTTGATGCACATATAAATGTCGAGTTGTGCAATTACTCGAGATCAGTGAAGTACCTATTTAAATATGTGAATAAGGGATCTGATAGAGCAACAATTGGTATAGAATGCTCAGATACTCCCACAGAACGTGATGAGATCAAAAGATATCTAGATTGTAGATACATATCAGCTACAGAAGCTTCCTGGAGGATCTTTTCGTTTGACATACATCATAGACAGCCAGCAGTTGAGCATTTGCCATTCCATTTACAAGGAGAAAACACCATAGTATTCCAAGAAGAAAGGTGTCCTGAAAGCATACTAAACAGACCCGATATAGTAAAAACAAAATTCACGGAATGGTTTGAGGCAAACAAAGAATATGAGGATGCGCGAGAGCTAACATATTCAAATTTTCCTACACGTTGGGTCTGGGATGCAACATGCAAAAGATGGACTAGAAGAAAAAAGGGGAAGTCAGTTGGTAGAATTTACTTCGCACATCCTGTAAGTGGGGAACGATTTTACATGAGAATGCTACTTAATTTTGTCAAAGGAAGCACTTCTTTTGAAAGCATCAGAACAATTAATGGAGTCCGGTATGATACTTATAAGGAGGCATGCTACGCATTGGGATTATTGGAGGATGATAAAGAATGGAATGACTGCTTGGCTGAAGCTGCATATTGGGCATCAGGAAATGAGTTGAGAAATCTGTTTGTGACGATACTAATTCACTGTCAAGTGTCTGATTCGTCCAAACTTTGGAGGAGCAACTATGAAATTTTATCAGAAGATATAACATCATTACAACGAAAGAAATTTCAATTGGAAGATTTAAAGTTAAATGAAAAACAACTTGAATCATATACGTTGTTTGAGATAGAAACCATACTTCTGAAGATAGGAAAAAGTTTGAAAGACATACATGGAATGCCACTTCCAGATTCCACTTTGATGAATGACACAGGGAATCGCCTTATCAATGAGGAACTAGAATATGACAAAGGTTTCTTAAAGGAAGTACATGATAAATCATTCGCTCTTTTAAATGATTGTCAAAACATAGCTTACGAAGCAGTAATTTTGGAAAAATTATAAAGTGTGACAATAATTTGATTTGAAGTTAATTATAAACGGGACCCACAATAAATGGAGGGTATTTTCGTCAAATAAAAGTTTAGCAAATCTAAAAAAAGCATATAGTAAGAATAATCTAATTTTATTCCTCAAAAATCTAGAACCAACTTTTTTATTTTGCGTTGACCGGACCCACATTTTGTACTAATTGACAATCTGAGCCCTCAATTTTCACAAAAAGTCAAAAAAGTGAACATTTTCATTTGCTTACGTGGAGGAATTTTACAGCAAGTACGGCCTTTTTTATGCCACGGGATTTGCAGCGGCAGCTTTATGCACAGTCTCTCGGTATTAAAATTCGATTAAATTTTATATATTATTTTTAATATTATTTGTTACATTTTTAAATTCAATTTTTCTTTATTATTATTAAAAAATATAAAAAAAATTAAAATATTGGGTTTATTATTTATTTATTTTAATTGATATATATATATATATATATATATATATATAACATTTTACTATCTACAGCTTGGTCAAATATCACTTATTTAGCTTAAAAGTAGGTTAAATATATTTTAAATTAATTTTTGATTTATATAGTATTTAATAAATATAAAAAATAATTTTAATAAGTTAAAAATGACATAAAATAAATTAGAAAGTGTTTGGTATGATAAAAATAAATTGAAAAATAATTTAAAATAGGTCAAAAACTAAAAATAAATTAGCCTTTACTTTTGTTTTTGACTTGAAAGTCATTTCTAATATTACTATAACTTCGGGGAAAAAAATCATTACGTAATTCATTATTTTTTAAAATTTGTGAAACAATGCAACAATAATATGACAATGGACGGGAATGAAGAAAAAAAAGAAGAAGAAAAAAATCATTACACAACTCGTCTTTTTTTAATTTTTACTTTTGAAGCGAAATAATATAACAATATTATATATCACACGAAAAAGGACATGATATCTTCGTCATTACATAATTCTTCTTTTTTTTAGTCTTTATAACTTCGAGAAAAAAATATTGCGTAATAATATAACAACAGAAAAAGAAAAAAAAACCATTACATAACTTGTCTTTTTTTAATTTTTAATTTTGAAGCAAAACAATGCAATAGTATTATACAACGACAGGAAAAATATATATATATATAAAAAAACTATATGCTATAAAATATTGTATTATATCTTTTTTAGATTAATTATACATGAAAATAATCACAATAACTATCTTTCATTTCAATTGCATTTCATTAACATGCTATTTTGATAAATAAAAGCTACTACCATCAATGTAATAAATGGATCAAACAAAATATACATATTTATACTTCCTATATGCTAAACTTTACAAATATAAATATTTTGTACACAATTATGTTATCATCATTAGGACAATTATAATACATTGTTCTGATTAATATTATTTGTATAAGTAGTAGTATTTTTTTTTTTAACCCCACCATTGGTGCACAGCAACACCTTCATCCCTTAACATACCATATAAAGATAAACATTCCCAATATGCCCTTCTACTCTTCTTTTTATCGCCTTTTTTCACACCTTGATGTTTACACTCTAAAAAAAGTTCATCGACTAATTTAATCGCTTTATTCCTTACCATTTCTTCTACTACTTCTGCTTCAGCTTTCATTACTACATACTCATCTTCCTTCACATTTTTCTCTAACCAATCTGACATTTCAATCAGTGGTGCAGATGACTCTTTTGTCACTGCTTCGATTCTAAATATCTCGAATTTCGTGTTCCTAGTTGGATAGTTTTTTGAAAACCAAGTAGAATCACCTGATTTCTCGTTTTTATCTTGTAAACCAAATATCTCGATGAATACCCTACGTGGGTAGCTATCCAGAGGAATGTTCATTAGTTCTGGCAAATAACGAGTCCTTTTGAGATATCTACTCGATTTTCCTGATGATGCTCTTGGTGGTTCGAGTAATACGTCTTCTAGCTTTTTTAATGCATCCTCTTTTGCGTTTGGATCAAAATTGAATAATTTTCTATGATGTCGTGCAGTTGTTGATTCGATCGAGGTAAATGAACTTGTCTTTCTCATGGCTACTATTGTGGAATCGAATTTTCGTACGTAGACAACTTTGTAGTTGGATTGTTGTGAATATGTTATCATAGGGTTGTCGTTTATTAGTTGAACGACGACAATACCACCTACGTTCATAGCTCGATCGATAAAATCGAGGGACTTGAATGAATCATAGGGAATCAATGCAAAGTCATAAGTCTCGTCTTTCCGTGCCAAATCTGAAAGAGAAATTAAATCCACATCGTAATCACTTGTAACTTGAGAATTATAGATAACCTCTTCATTTCCATTAGTAATAAACAAGGACCTGTCCCTTGTTTTGAGAAGGCCTTCATTAGCCAAATCATGAAAAATTAGAGGCAAAACCTCTAATTTAACTGAATTATAGTTAGCCATCGTATGATCACCTTTCGTAACGTTAATAAGCTCATAACTCGATGTTAATCCCCTGATTACCGTGTCAATCCAGGGAAATGATAAAATAACGAGCCACAAAATGGCTATCTGAGAAATCAACCTCAAAATCCACAAATGGTTCAATTTAATAACAACCAAATGTGTATCATTATAAAATCCCAAGGCATCCATATGTGTGCCTTTCATTTTGTCCTTTTTGGTGTGAAAACCTTGCAACAAACTCATTATCATATTATGCCACCAAAAAAGAGCGTAGCGTTTGACTTTTCGTCTTGGCAATCTTCAGATTTGAATCTAAATCAGTCTGATCAGTAAGCAAAAGAAGATAATACGTAGGTGTGGTGTAGAGTTTTTGAAAAAAGAGAGCATGGAAATTAATTTCAATCTAACGAACAAAAAAAAAGGAAAGTGGAGGTTCAAAAAACGACTATAATTTTAACGAGTGCAAAATCTAGAGGCGGTGTGGTTTCCACCCACGAGGGCAACACGATTACTTTGCAATCTTGACCATAACCACATTAAGTCATGTAGCCTTTGAACCTCCATTTCGTAAAACTATATAATAAAAAAGAAAAAAAGAACTCCTTCCCTTTTAATTTTTGCAGATCAACATGACTAAATTATTTTAATTAATTTACTTCATGATGATCTACTAATATTTTGGCAATTGATCTGAATGAATACAAGGAAGGAGCTAGGAATTTAAAATAAGAGAAAAAGACTAGACAGTTTAATTTATTTTTTTTGTTTTGAGTTTTTTATTTGTTGGTTATTTTATGATCTCTAAATATTGGTGTTATTCTTCGTTTTAAAAGGCTATATAAAAATTGAAATTTCTTGTTTGATAAAAATGGTTGGTAATACAGAAATTTCTAACACAAAGAATGGTGAAAAATTGTTTACTATTGTTGAGCAATTTGGTTTGAGGGAATGAAAGGTTAGTATTCACTATTTTATTCTATCCATTGGACAAAAAATTGTTATCGCGAATACGTATATTAGTTGGTAGTTAAAATAAAAATGCATTGTAATATAACTTACGTTTACATTAAATCAAGAGATGCATGACATATATTTGTATTTATATGTAGATTTTAAACATTTAATCCTGGTTTATTAACGTGCATTCAATCGCTTATCATTAAATCACATGGCTATCATAAATGTATATACAAATTAGTATTTACTAATGTATCAATTGGTTTGTTTAGTTTGAGACTTTTGTATATCTAATACTTTGGCTTAATACATGAATATATGAGTAAATTTTATGTATACTCTCGAATTACAAATTGTTTCAATTGATCACTTAATCACATGATGAAGTGTTATTATAGATACTTTCTGTTTGAATTTTTATTTAATGTTTTTGTTATGATTTGGTGACTAAAATGATACATATGTTCATGAAATTGTATCCTTTTAAGTTTAGTTCTATAGTTCAAATATCAGCATTTTTAACTTCAATTAGTATTCTTGTAAGAATAAGGAGACAAAACTTATATGATTTGGATTTTGAATTGCATATTTGGTTGCAATTTGCAAAATATTAATCCTCATTGATATATAAATATTAAGAAGAAGACAACTTAAAAGAAGAGAAGCGCATATCGCTTTTTAAATATTAACCGCGTTTAGATTCACTTATTTCAAGTAGCTTTGGAGTTTTAGAGATTTTGTTTGTTTGTTCTGATTAGTGGGGAATTAAAAACGTTATATAGATGAGAATAAATGATACTTAAGCCGAGGGTCTATCGAAATCGGGTACGGGTTTACGTACACAGTACCTTCCATAGGCCCCACTTTTGGGACTATACTGGATATATTGTTGTATAGTCGAGAATAAATTGATTGCAACAATAGTGATGTAATATAGGGTTACTTAATTGAACATGTCCTGATAAAAAACTTATCCAACATTTTATACAATTGAATGGCACCAAAATTTTCTTATCTTAGTTTTTTATCAGCAAACTATCTGATAGCTTTAATCTGCTAAATCAGATGATTAGTTTTCTACTTACCAAATACCTATACAAAAAGGTTGATTTCATTTCCAGACAATCACAATGAGAACTTCAGCTTAGTAGACTTCACGGTCACTCAGCTTCACCTCATACGATAGATGACCTGATGTATCGGGTACCATGGAATTTCAGCTAGCCAAGATTGGAATCAGCAAGCAATTCTCGAGGCACCAATAAAGGTCCTATACGACAAGCATGTTCACCATCTTCCACTGTTAGCCTAACGCGTATCTGAAAGTTGTGTGACATACAGCAAACTAGGGAAGTCAAAGAGTGACTACGCATCATCTAGAGTTTGTCCATGGAGGGACTACAGCTTGACCTTTCTCTGTATTTGGGAGGCTATCTGATTTTACTTTGTCCAAATTTGGATGGACTTCCTTTTTTGTTCCTTGATCTGGATGCTGAAGTGATTGACGATCATTCAGTCTATTCTTTTCTGCTGTTTGACTCCGAGATGCTTGAACCTTTCCGTTGTTTTTGACAGCCTGATCAGACTG